ACGTTGCCCTACCCGGTGGTAGATTAGGAATGGCGCTACCCATACGTTGACAGGCACCGACACGGGGCGGCAACAAGGCAGGGTCAGCGGACGAGTCGCAGCGCGTACTGTAGTGGTTTCGCGTCAAGTTAAATAGAATGTACCATTGTACGTCCTACATCGCACATCACGCGCTGCGCTGCGACTCGTCCTTTGACTCTGCCTCTTGCCGCGCGACGGGCCTCCTGTCGGGTACCCTAGGTTGACGGACCCACCTTCGCTTGAGAGCCCGTCATGCCTGCATCTACATCATGTTTATAGCCTCCCATGCTTTCGTTTACGGGGTCTCTCACCCTTCATGCACTCTCCTCTACTCACTCTCCATAGCCACACATAAAACACCATAGAGCAGCTACAAAGGGAAGCCTCATTCAGGAAGTTTCCGGCTGTTCTTTGTTAGATCTGTTTCCACTGCACCTGCCGTTTCATATTTGAGTCCTACAAATTACCCAAATCATAATCATAAAAAGCACCTATGATGCGCTCAGTTGATTGCTGTTTTTTTTTTTCAGGAACTTCGCTGCAATCTAGAAATGTTGAAAGGTTTCGTTAGTGAAATCAAAGTGTTGCTGCAGCTACGGAACGCCTCGAATGTAATAACGGTGAGTGGGTAACAAATAGCTCCAGATTTATTCAAACATCAGGATCAGCTTCAACGGGAAAGCTGAGGCGAGATCAGTGCAGTGGTCCAACCTTGATCCACACGTTCGGTGAGATAGCCTTCATAGCTCTGGCAGATGTGCTATCTAGCGATTTTGATGGCAGGATTCCACGATAAAAACGAAGGTCGAAGAAGGGAAGACCTTACTCTGAAGAGATGCAGGCGGAAACAGTTGGGGGGTGCGGACCAACACGCAATTAGGAGCAGAGGATAGGCCCCTAGCGATCTAGCCCAGCCCTACCCGCGCGGCGCTATCGGCGCGCTACGCCCACCGATTGGCTAACAACTCGCCGCAAGTCTCTGGCCGTTTAGCAGAGGAGCTTTAGCGTTGAATGTGACAGCACGGATCAGCGTCGGATCAGTGTGAGGGCAAGAATAACATTTCTCGGGATGTGGGTTGTTTCTCATGGTTTTTTCTTTGTCGGAATCACTTGATCACTCTTCGTATCCTAGTAGACTGATTCTACTCGTAAAGTCAGCCTTAAAAGAAATTGTATCATCAGAAATACAGTGCCGAGTAGTACTGAAGCGTCAGAATTCCAAAACCACTGTGAGATCGCTGAGGGACGCTCCAGCGGTGAAGATATTATTCTATGTGCTCATGCCTTCAGCGGAAACGCGGTTGCGTCCTCAGATTACTTCGTATACCCTTTCTCGCGGTAATGATCAATCAGTCACTCAAATCGTTCGCTGTGCATACCTAGGTTTCGCCATGTGTCTCCATATTACCTCCGGTCCGATAATAGCAAAAATTCCAAGTTTAACTGAATGATTGAAAAAATTCAATTTCAGCTGATGTCCTACTGTATTCCTCAAAATCCTCTGGAAAACATCCAGCAACTGAATATTGTAACCGAGCGAGGAACACCTTTGGATACACTGCATCTTGTACAGCTGTCTCCACAAAAGAGACATCAATTTGTAAATATGATTCAACGATTTTTTATTAACTACCCAACACTACGTCTTCATGATTTTCGGAGGCAGCAGGTGTATGTCAAACAGGAACAATATATTTTAACCCTTTCCGGACCGCGCACTTTTTGCGCTCACGGCCGCATGCTGCGCGGCAAGCATAAATATCATATATTTAATCTGTATTCCCACTAAAGCCATTATTTTGTCTCGTTTATGTCTTTGTCATGTCTCGAAGAATATATAAGATTAATTTGACAGAAAACTGTTTTGCAAAAAAAGGGAAAGGGCCATAAAAAGGGAGGAAGGGACGAAAATTGTTCAAAATAAGTTGGTATGGAGAAAAAGGGAGTAGAACGTGCCCAAAACGATTGGATCCATAAGAATCAGATACGACGAGCAGGATATTTCACAAATTCTTCGTTTTTAAGTGTTTTCAAGCGAACTACAACTGTTTTCTTTGAGCCCAAAGTGGAAGTCCATTTACTCTTTGGTTATTTTAGAACCTAGATTAAACCTAAAGTCTAGGTTTTTTCATACATATGGCATGAGTCTGTTACATAGGTATGTAACAACATAAAATATTTTATCGAAAAACCAAAACTCTTGGAAAAATCAGCTCTTGAAGTTCCTGACACACCATGTGTGTCAGGCGGTCCGGAAAGGGTTAAAGGCTTTATGGCGCATGATTGCTGTGATTCCGCCTTCGAAGATTATGTAACTATAGCAAATTTCAGATAGTATTGGTTGACGAGCAACCGAAACTAGTTGACTTCGACGGTGCCTATTTCAGCACGAGGGTACAAACGCAGATGAATGTAAGTATTTTTTCGAAAGCATGCTGAATATCGTAATGTAAAAAAGTAGCGAAAAAAACTTAAAAAGGAAAGATAATGTAAAAACGTGACATGAACATAAGTAGGTCACAAGGTTCGAGAAATCAGCACGAAACCTTATCGACGTGATTTTACCCGCGAAGGAAATCAAAGCAAGCTTACTTCTTCTACGCGATTGTAGGAATACCACCTTCACCCAGACAATCCCCTCGTCTCCTTAGTAGATGTACCAGCCACGCCAATAACGTGGTGGTCGTTTTCCTCTCAGGATGCGCCATACATTCACTCTCGTTCGTATTCGCAGAAGTATTGGCAGGTCCTGACAAGATTCAAAGCTACATTGTAGCCGATTTTCGATAGTGCCTAATCTCGTGGGCATGAGCAGAACCAGTGAGCTGGATCGTGGAAATGGTTGATTGACTGACGTTGGTACAGCCCACCGAAATGGCGCGGGCTATTTCAACTACGCTCTTCGAAACCTGCATCGAGAGAATTCAGTCTCATGCAAAATCATAGCAGAAGAGAAGTCGCTCCTGCGATCTTACAGGAGAATTCCACGATAAGGACGAGTGTCGAAGAAGGGGAAGCTTACCTTGTGGGGAGATAGGCGGACAACCTGAAGGTGCGGACCGACACGCAATTCGCATCGAAAAACACGCCCCCCCCTCCCGCGATCCAGCATGGCTTTCCTCGCGGCCAGTCGGCAGCGCGCAGTTGGCCGGTACGCACCCCCCCCCTTTCACATTGTCTCGTGTATGAGTCTCTAGCCGTTCAGCGAGAGAGCATTAGCGTTGGAGAGAGCAGGACCGATGAAAGTGCAAATCAACGGGCAAGGAAGGGATCTTACTTCTCGGGTTATTGGCCGTTTCTCATAATTTTTTCTTCATCCCTGCACCCCTCTACCCTTATTTCTAATGAGCTGCTTTTTCCTAGTCAAATCCCTGTTTAACGAAAGTAAGCTTATGTCTGGTGTGGAAACTTTCAGTGAAGCTTTATGTGTATTTGTGTGTTTGTGACAATTTTCAGATCATTCGACTGTGTTGCGGAAGCTACACTCAGAAATACTCATAGACTCCTCCTTCGATATTGACCAGAAAAATGATGGAATACGGATCAAAAGAAGGGCAGATTTACGTCGGAAATAGCCTTTTCAAGCACAATAAACTATTTATTATTTTACAGTTCATCGCACAAATATAATTACACATTCCTTAACGAAGAAGAGGTAACTCACGATGATTTAGAAAGTTTTATCTGAAAGGAATCAGTGGCCACTTACAATTTACCAGGAGGCAGAAGTTAAAATTTACGCCGGAAAGGCTAATGTCATGAATTGTGATTATAGAGCAGCGACTATTGCGCTGGAAGAACATCGGTTTTACGTGTCGTACGGAGAAAACCACGCTATTAGATATCGTGGAACGTTGATGGATAACATTAAAAAACAACAACAACATACATTATATAAGGAAAACAACCGGTATGCTGAGGTAACAAACCCCTTTTCAATCCTGAGGCTCATAATCTCGTCTAACACTGAAGTATTTCTCACGATTTTCTTCGATAAACGTTACAAATTCCGAAGTCATAATTTTCAGCGCCTGCGAGAAATGTAATTGTATAAATACATGTAAATATAATGTTCAGAAACCAGAATGAAAGGAAAGAACAACTTACCAATATAGGATCTGAATCTTGAGGCAGATCAGCAAATTTTTCCGCTAAACAATTGAATAACCTCAACAGGTGTGGAAGGCCATACACGGACGAGTATCGGACTGGTACAGTATTGTCTGGTAGAACTGCGGATCCTAGAAAAATAACGTTTCTCCAAGGAAGAAATTCACTATTTACGATTATTAAGATACTACAGCCATACAGCCAATTAACCTTGGTTCAGTGATTTAATTCCGTCATTCTTGGGAAGATAAAGATGGTACAGTTTGTGATTAGTTGATAAATCTTCTAATCAGCTTCCTCCCACACTGCACTCGAAAGAGAATAAGAGGAAAAAGGAGTTCTAGAAGCTTTCGTTAATCCAGCGTTGTTTGCCAGGCTGTTTGAAGTGTTGCCAAGAAAAGAAACCATGAAAAAAAGTCAGAAATAGTAAGAACCATACCTAGATGCGGTTGCATATTGCTCCCGGAATCCTTCAAATTGAGGAGTCGTTGTCGCAGTAGCTCTGAGTGATACTGATTACGTTCGAGTGGATACAGAAGCAGCTTTCTATAAGAAATTCTTTTCAAAACAAAAGGGTTCCAAAAAAGGCCAATATGAGATTCGT